CATAGTTTGTCTGCAGATATATTATCAAGAACAGCTTTTGGAAACAGCGTGGAAGAAGGTAAACGGATCTTCGCGTTGCAGGAGCGTATGATGCGTCTATTCTATCTAGTTCGACGTACCATTTATATCCCCGGGTTCAGGTAAGTCTTATTGGGGGAGGGGGGGATACTTCTTAGTTTTAGAGAACAAGTTTGTAACAAGAACCTTAAATGCTTATATCAAATGTTGGTTTTAGATTCTTACCTACGAAGACAAATAGAGAGATATGGAGAATCGAGAAAGAACTCCGTAGTACTATCTTGAAACTGATCGAAAACAATGAAACAAGAGCCATGGAGAAATCAGGAACTCTGCTTCAGGCTTTTATGTCTCCTTACATTAATCAGAATGGTCAAGAAGAGAAGCTTGGGATTGAAGAAGTTATAGATGAATGTAAAACCTTCTACTTTGCAGCTAAGGAAACAACTGGTGATCTTATGACATGGGTTTTAGTCCTCCTCTCGATGCACCAAGAATGGCAAGACATTGCTCGGGAAGAAGTCATACGCGTGCTTGGACCAACCGGGTTTCCCACTCCAGAAAACTTGCAAGACCTCAAGACTGTAAGTCCTTTATCCACTTCAACTTAAGAATGGTTTTAAGAGACATTGATTCTTACAACACATTCATTTTTCTTGTCTTTGTAACAGCTAAGTATGATAATCAATGAGACTCTCCGGCTCTACCCTCCAGCGATGACACTAAACCGTGACACTTTGAGGAGAGCTAAGCTCGGAAAACTTGAGATTCCTGCAGGAACTCAACTCTATTTATCAGTTATTGCGATGCACCACGACAAAGAAACATGGGGAAACGATGCAGAGGAGTTTAATCCGCGTAGATTCGAAGATTCCAGGAAACAATCAGCTCTGCTTGTGCCTTTTGGGTTAGGACCCAGGACTTGTGTGGGTCAGAATCTTGGAATGGTCGAAGCCAAAACGGTTCTTGCTACGATCTTGAGGCGTTACAGTTTCAGGTTGTCTCCTAGTTATGTCCATGCTCCGGTTTTGTTTGTGACCTTGCAGCCTCAAAATGGTGCTCATCTTCTCCTTAGTAGGATTTCAAGTTAAAAAGACTTACAAAGATGTACCGGTTGGTATATTCGATTCCGGTTTGATCCGGTTTAGAGGGGATTTTAATCAATCAATGTGCTTTGGTTTGGTACTATTTTTGATTTTTTTCCAAATTTTCTTTTTCGTTTGGATAAAAAGCAAATCATCCCATTTATCTTCTTCCTCCAAACCCAGAAGAGCCACAAGACTGAAACTCTGTTCATATATTGGGCGGGAAAAAAACTGATACTTTCTTTTTCCGATCAAGTCCTCTGTTTTTTTTTTAATTTTATCATTTGCTCTGCGATATACGTTAGTTGTAGAATTTGGTGAGGCACGGAAAAACGCACTCAAGGTGTTCGACGAAATTCCGCAGAGAGACAAGAATACACTATACAAGATGCCACTAGAGCCTATTCGATTCCTGGGAACCAGCGCAGGCGTAATTCTTGGCGGATTGGTGATCACAAGCGTGGTTTCCACGGCAGCCATAGGAGCATTTCGATTTACGATCGAAAAGAAACAGAAGAGAGTTGGATTGGCATGTCTAGTGTGTCGTGGCAAAGGGTTTTACATATGCAAATTATGCAAAGGAAACGCAACGATAAAGTGGTCGCCTTTATATGATCCAGTTTGTATCAATCCATGTCTTTGCCCTACTTGCGATGGTCACAGGTTTTCTTATAGCTCTCATTACTCCACTTTTCGAGTTCTCTGCATAATCTAAACAGAGGAACAAAAGTATCTGATTGTTCTTCTAGACAAAACTGAAAATAATGGTTTCTTTGATTTGTATTGCAGGGTACAACGATGTCTCAACTGCATAGGAAAGGCATACTGTTAAACGCCTTTTGAATCTTTGTGATTTCAAAGTCTTATGGAAATCTTTCGATGCTGCGAAAACTTTTTTCTTTTGTGATCAAATTTGGTTTCTAATGGTCTAAGATATGAGAAGGTAAAATCAATCTTAAAATAGATTTAAATTTGGCTGGGGTGGGTTGAGCCAAATTTTGCCTAACCTCTACATAGATCAAACCAAAGCTCACTCTCAAGTTTGCCTAACCTATAACCGTCAAAACTAAACATATTGCAAAAATGATTTGTCTGTGTACGCATACAGCGTGGATCAGCCACCCAATGTTACAATAGTAACAAGTGAAAATAAACAATGGAATTTTAATGATTTTATTGCATAATCATGAGATAATTAAATAGAATAAAAAAAGGGAAGAAATCAGGGAACAAACATTAAATGAAATCTAAAGAAAGTTAATTAAGGAAACCAAATCAATGGTTAATATAAAATTAAGTTCCCACAACAACAACAACCACTAAAAGGATTATTTTGATCACAGAAGAAAGGGTTTATCAATTTGGCCACTGCGTCGGTCCTTTCAGTGGCAATGTCGGGACGTAGAGACAGGATCAAACAGTTCCCCGGATCTCGAATTGCGATCGCAATCCTTGTTGGAATTCTTATCGGTTGTGTCTGCACCATCTTGTTCCCGAACGGGTTCTTTTACTCGGGATCATCAGTAAAAGAACGACTTTCGAAATCCACCTCTAAGGTACTTAAGTAGATCTTTGTGCCCTTAACATTTTACAGTCATTTTGGGTCTATACAGCTCTTAATTTTTTTTATCTGAATTTAGAGAATGTCTTGTGCAAGCTATAGCAATTATAGGCATTGAGCTGATTTCTCTGAGGAAATGCTTGAAACCCTTTCATGGTGTTGTGTTTGTTGGAATTTTTATAACTGAATTTAAAACTACATTTTGCTGTTGATAGATTTGAAGATTGATTATCTTCATCGATATTTGAGTAAGGATTACAGATTGCATGTTTCAATTATCATGTTAGGTTTTGATGTCACAAAATTTTAGTCCTCAAGATTTGAGTTTAACTAGTGAAAGATCATCTTTTCTCTGTTTTTTTTTTTTATTAATTGTTCTCTAATCTTTTCAGGTTGGATCGGTTTCATGTGAATCGCCTGAACGGATTACAATGCTGAAATCAGACTTTGCATTGATCTCGGAAAAGAACGCCGAGTTAAGGAAACAGGTCAGAGAGCTAACAGATAAATTACGGTTGGCGGAACAAGGAACTGAAAATGTGAGGAAACAAGTCTTAGTTTTGGGATCAGAGATCAAGGCCGGACCTTTTGGAACCGTCAAGAGTCTAAGAACTAATCCAACTGTTGTTCCCGACGAGTCTGTTAACCCCCGATTAGCTAAGCTATTAGAGAAAGTAGCTATCAACAAAGAGATCATTGTGGTTCTTGCAAATTCAAATGTGAAACAAATGTTGGAGATGCAGACTTCTAGTGTAAAGAGAGTTGGTATTCGAAACTACCTGGTTGTCGCGTTGGATGATTTCATAGAAAATTTCTGTAAATCGAATGAAGTTGCATATTACAAGAGAGATCCAGATAAAGCGGTGGACAAGGTTGGGGAAAACGGAGATAATCACGCTGTTTCCGGACTGAAATTCCGCGTCTTGAGAGAGTTCTTGCAGCTTGGTTATAGTGTTCTTCTATCGGATGTGGACATTCTCTTCTTGCAGAACCCTTTTAGTCATCTGTACAGAGACTCAGATGTGGAGTCAATGAGCGATGGCCACGACAATCAAACGGCTTATGGATTCAACGACGTGTTTGATGAACCATCAATGGGATGGGCTCGGTATGCTCACACAATGAGGATATGGGTTTTCAACTCCGGTTTTTTCTATCTAAGACCAACTCTTCCTTCAATAGACCTACTAGATCGCGTGGCAGATACACTGTCTAAGTCAGAAGCATGGGATCAAGCGGTTTTCAACGAACAACTCTTTTTCCCTTCGCATCCGGGATACACTGGCTTACACGCTTCAAAGAGAGTCATGGATATGTACGAGTTCATGAACAGTAAAGTCCTCTTCAAAACTGTTAGAAAGAATCAAGAACTGAAGAAGTTGAAGCCTGTGATCGTTCATCTGAATTACCATCCAGATAAACTCGAACGAATGCAAGCGGTAGTAGAGTTCTACGTTAATGGTAAACAAGATGCACTTGATAGCTTCCCAGATGGCTCTAATTGATACTTGTTAATCAAGATACCAAAAGAACCCAATCTTCTTCTTCAATGGTAGATTCTACTTATATACTAAGGTAGGCAAAAAGAAAACTCTTTGAGCTATAAACTTAGTATCAATTCTCTTTTTGAGCTTCTGTACTAAGAATCTTGTGTATCTTATAGCTGAAATCTAAGAGTCTTCAATTACTGTTAGATTGAGACATGGAAGAAGGAAGACAAAGAGAGTGTAAGGTTTTGGATTTATATGTGTGTTTATCCACAAAGAAGACCTTGAAGATTCTCTCTGTAATAACCAAATATCCATTTTTGTGGTTTCAAATGAAATCAAACCCCACACTTACCTCTCTCTTTTGTCTCTTTCCAATGCCTACGTTGTTTTTTCTCTGTATCTCTCACAGAACAAGCTGCAATTTTTCTGTTCTTGTTCTGTCAAAGTTTCTTTTTTTTTATGCTATGCAGACATTACCAAGCTCAGAAACCGTTCTTCTAGCTTCGAACTCACCACCGTTGCTGCGTAATCACGGCGGCGATGACATGGACATCGATTTCGGAGATGTGTTTGGTGGTCCGCCTAAAAGACGGTCCAAGGTTAATAACGAAGCCAGTCGTCATAGCTTTAACGAAACATCTCTCAGGCGGCGTGACGTCATCTTCGACGACGGCGCGTTGATTACACGCGATGATGGAAGAGACGAGAAGCCTGTATTCGGTGAAGAGCCATCGATTCGTCGTCGTTTCACGACCGATGATTTCTTCGACGATATTTTCAGAGTGAATGAGAAAAAGAACGAAACTTTCGGGTCATCGCTTCCGGGTTCTCGGATCCTTAGCCCGGTTCGGTCTACCTCTCTCAAAGCTGAGTCTCCACTGACTTTGTCTCCTACACAATTCAGGTCTGCTTTTTTGTTCTTACTGTTTAGTTTCGTAATGATGATGATTAGTCTTCGTGTAATCATAGACTTTGTTGTTACTTCAGTCTTCCTGCAAAACTAATGAAAGCAACAGAGATTCCTACATTTGGTTCAGCTACTCGTAGTTTGAGTAAGAAGAAAGAAACTACTGTTTTTTCTAGCTCTCCTTTGTCAAGAACTTCGAGCAAAGTTGATATGGTTGCTAAGTCAGATTTAGATGAGTATGGTGTTGCTAAAGAAGTTGTTACTGGGAAAGGCAGGCAGTTTCATTTCTCTATCTACAAGTGGCCTAATAAAGGAGTTCCTGTTGTTATTTGGGGTAGTTCTAGATTGAGCTCTATGGCTAAAGCCGAGGAGACTACACCGAGTTATTCGCGGTCTACTCCAGTTGAGAAAGCTACTA